CAAAGAAGATTCCCTGGACCCATCTTTTGGGACTATAAGGTAAAGTCATGGATGGGAAGTTGTGAATCTTTGTCTGCAAATCATACCAAACTGTGGGTAGCCCTGGTAGACACCTTCTTAAATGGAAGTGCTTCCATTACTTTTGACTGACTGAAAATACGTTCTCCACTTTCTCACATTTGTGGTATTTGTGCATCCTTCTTAACTAATTCAGAAATAGGGGGTGTGTTGGTGGTAATTGAAATGAGAAGGTTTAGTGATGTTGGATTTGTTCTCCCACCCCTTTCTCTCTCCTATCAGATAAACTTGTTGGGGGAAAAGGATGATACACCAGTTCATTTCTGTGATAAGTGTGGATTGCCCATCAAAATGTATGGACGCATGGTGAGTGAAATTATCAGTGGAAGGTGCCACCATAGTTTCCCTTTAGGAAAAATTAGGTTTTACTGTGTCTCTATGAGGCCTCTAGAGGTTACTGATTTCAGCAAGTCTCTGAATAAACAGCAGAAGAATATCAGGGTGGAACCGGGGGCCTTCATCGCTGACGTGGTTTTGTTCCATCTGTCTGTCTAATTTCACTTTACCTCCTGATTTAATAAAGTAAGCTTGAAAACTTAGTGGGTTTTGACCTTACACGACTTAGCTTTAAAAATAAGCTCTTTATCTCAATTAAAAACTTGCAATGAAGTTAGAAGACACTGTTTGCTTTTATATCCCTTTAAAATTAGTGTAACAAAATCACTGAGATCAGTTTAGATTTCTAAGTGTGATGTAACAGGCTTCAGGATCTGACTTAATGACAGTTAATGCTTTTAAAACTTTCCTTCCTTGCCAGCAAGACAAGTATAATTAGATTGCATATGCAGCTTCTGTAAATGTTTGGTGTTGGTATTATTGCAAGACTTAAACTTTTGCCCATATGTTTCTGCCAACTCCTAAAAAAACCCATACAAACCTACCCCCAAAAAACCCAGACTCAACAGAAACTGTTTCAGAAAGTTTCTATGCAAAGAGGTTGTAAACTGCTAAGTACTGTTGGGCCTGTTCACCTTATAGGTGACTTAGTTGCTTTTATTACTAGAAATTGTGTGCTGGAGGGAGGAACTATATTCTGCAAAATGACATAGAAGTTTATATACAATGGCTTAACAGAGCCAATTTTTGTCTCTAGATACCTTGCAAGCATGTTTTCTGCTATGACTGTGCTATACTACATGAGAAAAAGGGAGACAAGATGTGTCCAGGGTAAGTTATCTCAAAATTTGTTATTAAATGAAATGTAGGAAAATAACTTAAATACCTTATTTCAGATACCGTATTTCAGATATTCAGGTTCTTATTTATGTCCGTTTAGCAGAGGCAGGAGCGTGGTGTAGTAAAGGATACTTGATTATAGTTTCATATATCATATTTTGGGATTGTAAGAGAACAGTGTTTACTTTGCTGTTTAAATATTTGTGTAGATAACCTGTTATTTCTCTGCTTTGAAAAGGAATAAATGAATAAATGTCAATTTAGTGAGAGTGACTCTTGATAAGTCTTAATGCGCAGAAGGAATTTGTGAGAGAGAGTTATGCATTTCTACCTCATGAAATTTTTATGTTCTTTCATAGTTGTGTCTGGAGACTTAAAACTGGATAAACTTCCAAGTCAATGAAATGTTTCTTTCATTGCTACAGTCAGGGAAAAAATTGTCAGTTCTAATTTGGGTAATTATGGTAAATTGGTTGACTTTTAGCTGGGGGGGGACACGACAGGTTAAGCTCTCTGTGATGACAATAAACCAATATTCTCTTCTGATTTAGCTGTAATGAACCTGTGCAGCGAATCGAGCAGTGTGTCCGAGGGTCTCTCTTCATGTGTAGCATTGTTCAAGGGTGCAAGAGAACTTACCTGTCACAGAGGGACTTACAAGCTCACATCAACCACCGTCACATGAGAGCTGGAAAGCCTGTTACTCGTCCTCCAATCGAACCTGTGCATCCTCCTATTGCCCCACCGCCTGCCGAAATTCCTGAGCGTTTCATAATGCCTCCTGAGAAACATCATATGAGCCACATTCCGCCAAAGCAGCACATCATGATGCCACCACCTCCTTTACAGCATGTGCCACATGAGCATTATAACCAGCCACACGAAGACATTCGTGCACCTCCTGCAGAGATGTCAATGGCTCCACCACCACCTCGCCCCGTCAGTCAGGACACCTTCCGCATTTCAACAAGAAAACACAGCAACTTAATAACTGTCCCTATTCAGGATGATTCAAATTCAGGTGCTCGAGAACCACCTCCACCAGCCCCTGCACCTGCTCATCATCATCCTGAATACCAGGGTCAACCAGTGGTATCGCACCCTCATCATATTATGCCTCCACAGCAACATTATGCACCACCCCCACCACCACCTCCACCAATAAGCCATCCACTGCAGCATCCTCCCCAGGCAGCAGGTACTCCTCATATGGTATATAGCCAAGCTCCTCCACCACCAATGACCTCTGCTCCTCCTCCAATAACCCCACCACCTGGACATATAATTGCCCAGATGCCACCATATATGAATCATCCTCCTCCAGGACCTCCCCCTCCTCAGCATGGAGGCCCACCTGTAAATGTAAATGCGCCCCCTCCCCATCACTATAACCCTAACTCTTTGCCACAGTTCAGTGAAGATCAAGGAACTCTTAGTCCCCCTTTCACACAGCCCGGGGGAATGAGTCCAGGGATATGGCCAGCTCCAAGGGGGCCGCCTCCACCTCCAAGGATGCAGGGGCCTCCTGCTCAGGCCCCGCTTCCTGGACCACACCACCCTGACCAAGCCAGGTACAGACCCTATTACCAATGATACGAGCAATTGTGTGAATAGAGAGTGCTATGAAGAGGATAAAACTATATACAACAACCTTTTAATTAATTGTTTGGGGGTTATTTTGTTGTTTGTTTTTTTTTTTTTAAAATACTGTAAGACACTTTGGGGGTTGAATCTTAAATGATTTTTAAGCCTTGGCTGTAGGACTCTGACTTCAAATACTCTGTAGTGCTAAAATAAGTGGCTTAGTAGACCACGGTTGCATTTTAACAGAACTTCTGTCTCTAGTGTGGCTGAATTGTCCTAAGATGAACACTTGTAATATTATTTCCTGGAGAAAATGAACACGTGTTGTACCATTCTGAATATTATTTTTGTTAAATCCAGTGTTTAGTTTCACTTGTGATACGTTTTTGTTAACCTGTGTACAATAATTAAATTGAAATATGGTTGTAAAAGTGGTGGGGTTTTATATGAAGTTAATACAGGCGTAGTTCCGGGACACCATTTTGGCACTAATACTTTCCAAATGGGCAGCATAATGACGTATTAAGGGAACTTTAATATTTCTCCTACTAACAGTTACCATTACTTATAAAGAATTCAGGCAGTGGTGAATTTGTGGCACTAGAGATCAGACATGCAGAATACTGCATTTCAGCTTTTTCTTTCTTTTTTTTCTTTAAATTTACACAGTAAGATAAATTTACCAGAAATACAGCTGTGGGCATGACATGAAACCATGTAATGTATTGAGAGTTTTGCTGTGCGTTTGTTTGGGTTTGTTTGGGGATTTAGGTTTTTGGGCGGGTTGGTTGGTTTGTTTTAAAGCTAATTTTGCTTCAGAAGGTTCTGTTTACCTGTACACTACTCATTGGAGTTGAATTCAAACTATTGTGTTTACCCATGGCTACTTTTGTGTGCAAGTGGCTGTGAATTGGCTTGTCATGTCTGTGAGAAGCAGATTATTTTGGGTAAGGAAGTGGTGTTTGCCTCTGTCAGTTTCTAGAATATGTACAGTAGGAGAACATCCCATTTAGATAACCTGAAAGAACTGGTCTGACATCCCTTATGTAGACATAAAGAAATAAAAATGCTACATATCCTTTATCTGTTGCGATTTTGTGATACAGATTTAATTGAACAGACAATATTTAGGTGTTCTGTTTTGATTTTTTTTTTTTTAAAAGTAGCAATATAAGCAGGCCCTCAGGTCTATTTTGGCCCAAAACTTAGGTTTTATGAGCATACTTTTAAAAAAGATAAATATAATAAATATAAAATGAGAAAGTTCTTTTCCAGTGCAGCTGGTAGCTGAACTGGACAATACTAAGACAATACTGTCTGTGTTTTGGAGTGCTTATCTTTCCATTTCTAATCAATGTTAGTGCTGAACACTTGTTTGGGGTTTTTTTTCAAAATGCCCCATTTCTAGCAGTAGTGCTCTTGGATGAAGAAATCTGGTGGGTTTTTTTCTAAAGTTTGTGATTTCCTACTGTTCTTGAATAATCTGAACTGTCTGAAAGCCTCAGTGTTACTATTTATTTTGTAAACCTTTTTTTCCTGGCTCATAACTGTTAAATTAATGAAAAAGCTTTGACAGTGTAACATTTCAAATTTTTAAATTTTATGTATAAGCTGCATAATTTTAATTAGCACAGCAAGGGCTCTTTAGATTTACTCTGTCCTTGACTGCCATTGGTTTCCTTGTGACCAAGGGCAAATCTTTTAGACTACCTTTCAAATAAATACTTCTTTAGAGCAGTGCAAATAAACTTTGACATATACAAATAAACTCTGGGGTATACAAATGTCCAGTAAGTGTTCATTGATTAAAAGGCTGCTTAGCTGTAATATGCTTCTTTCTAAGACAGAGTTCTTTGGTTTGGTTTCTCTGAAAAATAAGTGATTTTAAATAAAACACACTGGTGAAGAAGAGGTTGATTGTGATAATGTGCTTTGGTATGAGGTTGGTTGAAAATTTAGTTTTAATGTGAATTAAGGTGAAAACGACTCTGCCAGCATTATTTTATTTCAGTAACGTATAATAAACAGATGAGGAGCTTTTAAGGACCCCCTTTTGTCACTGTTAAATTGTTTGGTCAGAGGTAGGCTTAGGGACATTTATATTACAACATATAACTTCATCTGGGAGGAAATCTGCATGTCAAACTTATTGTGTGAAATACCTGTTTTAAACAGACTTATGGGTGGTTCTAGGTACCAGCTTCATTTTGTTTAGGCTGAGAAGGTAACACATGCAGGCTTGCGAGGGCACCACATGACAGGCTTTTGTGCAGGGAGATGCATCAGCCTCACCAGTGTGCTCCTCTGGAAAGTAAGACATTCTGAAATCAGCTATTACCTGTTCATTGCAGGTGATGAGGAAATTTCAAGGCAACTCTTCCCATCGTGCTGCTTTTTAGAAATAAGACAGGTTGCATGCTTTTGTTACGTGTTACCCAGTCTGTTGTGAAGATGATGAAGGGTTCAAACTTAATAATTCTGGGTCCAAAGCTATTCTTGAAGTTAATGATAAAGTGTTTTTTTCTGAAAATGCTGAGACAGTTGAATTGTTTAAGGGAAAACAGCAGCCTTTCTTTGCTCTAGCAAAACCCACAAATGATAAATGTCACTGTAGAGAATGTGTGAGATTTTTTTTTTCCTGTTTATCGTTGAGGCAAAGTAGATGTGTCATATGGACAACGACATATTACCCCAAAAAAATCAGTGGGATCCCTTGAATTGTTTAGTGACCATGGATCAAAAGTCTTTGTGATAGAGGACTTTCTGAAAAGTCATGCTAAGTAGGCAGGACTTGGACTTGGGTCAAATCTCTATGACTCGCTTCTGTAGGAAGACATAAATCCATTTTTTTATTAAGTCCTAACTATACCTATGTAACTAAGGGTACTGCTGATGCTTTCATATTTACAAAGTTAAAAAAAAAAAGTCAAAACCTTATGTTAACATTCTTTGTAATTTGTTTATGGGGTTTGGGGCATGTTTTGGGGTGGTTTTTGTTTTTGTTTTTTTGCCAAATAACCTGATCATTTCAGTGTGAAGTTCAGAAATGCCATATATTGTATTTAATTGTATAATTGACAGTCTTAGAAAAGGTGAGATGTACTTGTGAATTCTTTGGATTCCTACTTATTTCTTCCTGTAAAGACAAACGTTTGATGTTTATTTTGAATAAATATCCCTGTCTGTGGCAGTGATCTCCCTCCTGAGGCATTACCGAGCAGATCACAAGGTTTAAAGAGAACTCTGATGACATTTAAATTTGTCAGCCATTGTAGGTTCCTCTGATAATGTCACATAAGGGAATGAAAAGGTGTTTGATGGTTTGTGTCCACCGTGGAATGAATGAAAGGACACCAGCAGATGGCCTGGATGCTTGTCTCCTTACGCTTTATCTTCAATTCCATCTATAACTTTGCTTGAAGGATTGCCTGCAACCATGCATGCTTTACAACCAGCAGGCTAATTGTGTGAACACGTACTGTATGTTTGGTGAGTTTTTTTAAATCCTGTTAACATAAAGATTGGATACCTACATGTGCTAAGTGATATTTTTCATGCCTTTTAAAAAAGAAAAATGTGAATTATTTTTTAAAAATCAGATCCAAGAGAATTAGAAAACCTTACCAGATGGAGTTTCCACTTCTTTTCACTTACTGCTCGCAAAGGAGTGTCCAATTCTGTTTGTTAAAAAATAAAATGGAAGTAACTCACGTTCATCCCATGTTAGAGTTTGCACACATAGTAAGGCAGAAAAACCATCTCCTATATTATGTAAAGTCAAGTGTTCTCTGAAACACGTTTGTGGATGTGCTTTCTCTGTGGGTCGAGTCTGAGCACACACCTCTGTTCTTAAAATGTTTTCTTCTCTGTAGAACTTGTGTCTGATTTTGTGTTGTTTCTCTCTGCATGCATTGCCATGTTGCTGGCAAAAGCATGCACAGGGTGGCATCAGAAGGTACGGTCAAGCCTGGGAAGCTGGAGGAGCACGGCAGATTGCAGTTGCAGTGTAATATTGAATGTACGGGAAATAAGTTTGAACTTTCCTGTTCGTATATATGACACTAGAGGGTCCAATGCAGCAGAGAAATCTGCAAGGTTTATATTCAGACTACATTTCTAAAGGAAATGTCAGTATTATACCAGCTGTATTTCCTCTGTTTTTTGTTTACGTTGTTAAAAACAATTCCTAGATGTTGTTAAACCATCTTTATATAGTAATGGTGCCTTCACAACTGTGTGCTTCTTCACTGTGTTCTGGTATGTTATATTCACACTAATGATTCATACTGACCAGTTTGTAAACTGAACAGCTGCATTTGTTTGCACAATGTGAGTGAGAATAACAGAGTTTAAAGCTCCTTTTAGTCTCGACTTAGCCATAAGACAGAGCTACTTCAGAAACTTTTCCTGTTCTGAATTGCATCTCCTTGTTCTCTAAATATGGGGCATCAGTTTGTTGGGATTTTTAAAAAAATGTTTTCAGTTTTGACTTAGTTGGTGAGTACAAGAAATTAAGAGATTAAAAAATCCAACATAACGTCTGGAGAGGTGTGGGTGGAACAGCAGCAGGAAGCCTGTAAATGAGCTCAGTCATCTTGATTCTGGAGCGTGAGTAGGACTGATTGTAATAGGCTTCTGTTAATGGGAAGAGTGATAATATACACAAGTGGGCAGGAATGTTTCCATTTTTATGTAGTAATGTTTCACAAAAGAACATCAGCTTAACTGCTAAAAAAAACCAAAATGAGTAGTTTTAAATGGATGTCAATGTGTCAATCAACAAGAGTTTTCTTCAGTTCTATTTGTGGAAACCAATGCTTGAACACAGCTCCAAGGTAGTTTATGGTGAATTATTTCTTACATTAAATAAAATCACATAAGTACTAATTAGAGTTCCTGCACTTGTTCTTTGCCATTTTTGGATCAGGTAAACTTTCCGTCATTTTCTTAGGAAGCAGAAGGGAGTAGGTGCACAAAGAAGGGCGAGAAAAGAGAACTATCCACATTTCAGCATGGGGATGAGGAATATAGAACCGTGAGTGACCTTTCTGGTAAAGAAGTGCTTAAATATACTTTCTCCTTAGTCGAAACTTAATTTGAAATTGAAAAAAATAAAAGTTTTCATGTTATAATGCTCTCTCCATTGGGCCCAAGACTTTGAATAACTGAATAACTTTGCAAATTTTGTCTCTATATTTCACACAGGCAGACTCTTCTGCACCGCAAAGTGAAAACCAGGCTTGAGAGTAGGCTTGAGCATCACAGGCTCCACAGCTTCGGTCTTTTCCATCCCTCTTGCTGGTTCTAAAATACCTGTTATTTACTTACCAAGCATCTGCACTGTGCTGAGGAGGTATAGACTCAGGATACGTAGTGATGAATTAACACGATAACCTGTCAGCTCTCTAAAAAGCAAGTGGATGTGAAATTT